ATTTGCTAAGTGAGCATAGTACCTCTGGAGCCACAAAGTTTATGAATATGCACTCATTAATCTTCAGATATTTCACTTGAAAATGATTTCTCATTTCCTCATGTTTTTCCCCAGCTAATAATTCTTTATAAAATGGAATCAGCCCTCAACATTGGTCATTAATTTCTACTTAAGATGGTATTGGGTTGCAGACTGTAATACTGGGATACACAGATTTTTTTTTAATGCAAACTTAAGGAACCAGCAGATGGCACAATGGCTCCCACATAATCAACAGCGGTTTGAGTCTCAGATCCAGCAGCTTAAAACTCACACTGGGTTTGCATGCCTGCGTACCCAAGATCCCAAGAGGAGAATGGAGGAGAAGGGGTTGCAACGTGACCATCTCCCCGGGGGGCATGGGTGATTTCTCATTTTATATCTCTCTGGTGAGTGCATGTGCCCCATAGCAAAAATCTCTCTTTAAAAAAAAAATGCAAACTTAACATTTCTACTGAATTGCATTTTGGAATTTTTCTGTGACTCTACAGGCAAACATAACATTAAAGTTTCTCACACAGTTGCTTATACATATATCCGCAGTATGATGGTTTTCATACAAGCATAGTATTTACGTGATGGTAAAGACTTCAAAGATGGCATGCATGTATATATACATACACACCATGAACATTCTCATATATATTTGTATACACACACACACACGTATATCAAAAGTATGATCTAACCCAAACTGCAAAAAGTTTTCCTTCTTCTCTCTTTATCTTGAAGAGATTTATTTAATGCTTTGAGGGAATTTTCATCTGAATACTTAGCTATTAAAGAGTGGAGGATGGGACCAGCAGATGGCGTAATGGCTACTTTGCTGGACTCCCACATAGTCGACCTCAGTTCAGGTCCCAGACCTGGCAGCTTAAAACTCATGCTGGTTTCTGTGCATGTGTGCCCAGGATCCCAAGAGGAGAATGGAGGAGAAGGGATCACAGCGTGGCCATTCCCCCAGGGGGATGATTCCTTACTTTTTGTCTCTCTCTGTCTCTGGCACACCCTGTAGCAAAAAAATCTCTATCTTAAAAAAAAAAAAAAAAAAAGAGTAGAGGAGAAAAGCTGTCCTTTGCAAAGTTGATTACTTAAGATACTAAATGCTGCTATGGTCTTCATTCCTTTCCCCAGTATCTAATCCTTACATTTTTCCAAATAAAGATAACCTTCCAGCTGCCTTGCCCCTCCCATGGAGCATCTCTGCCAGCTGCCAGGCCTCCTTTATTCTGTGGTCCCCAGCATACACACACTCACACACACACACACACACACACACGGTCCTAAGGACATCTGCTATTACTTGCCCTCTTCCCAAGGACATGCTTTTTCCCAGGAGCCTAGCCAAATATTGGCCTTGCAGAGTTTTGCTCAGAAATGGAGGCATAATACATCTCACTCCAAAATTAACCCAAAATTTACAAAGGGAGTCAAATGGTGGCACAGTGATAAACGCAACGCTCTGTGAGGCTGGCTTGTGGCAGAAGGGTCCCAGTTCAAGTCTGAACTCCTCTCTGAATATGCTGGACACGTGTGCCCATGACTCAGGGCTGACTGATAGCTGGAGTAGATCATGGCATGGGGGTTCTGTCTGTCTGTCTCCCTTTGTTCCCTCATGCATGGCAGACATTATTTTAAATATTAAAAATGTTCACAATTTAAAAATGTACACCAACTTTTAACCATTTGTGGAACTTTTTTTTTTTTCTGTACTATAGGGCTTGGGTACTCACCAGAGACAGAGAGAGACAAAGAGACAGAATGTGAGAAATCATCCCCTCACAGGGATGGCTGTGCCACAACCCCTTCTCCTCTGTTCTCCTCTTGAGATTCCAGGCATGCACGCCTACATATCTGGTGTGTTTTTCTCTTTCTTTCTTTTCTTTCTTTCTTTCTTTTTTCTTTCTTTTTTTCTTTTCTTTTCTTTCTTTTTTTTTTTTTTTTGAGAGGTTTTTGCTATAGGGCACATGAACTTGCCACAAAGACAGAGAGAGACAGAGAGACAGAAAGTGAGAAATCACCCCCCGCGGGAGGATGGCCACACCGTAATCCCTTCTCCTCCATTCTCCTCTCAGGATCTTGGGCATGCACGCACATGGGCCTGACGAGAGTTTAAGCCACCGGGTCCAGGACTCAAATCGCGATCGACTACATGGGAGTCCAGTGACGTAGCCATTATGCCATCTACTGGTCCCTCTGGAGTGTTTTTCAAGCCACTGGGTCCAGGACTCGAACCTCACTGTTGGCCACGTGGGATCTAGCACCCTAACCACTAAGCCTGCTGGTCCCACTCATACTCTTCATTATTTAAGTTTGTTTCTTCTTATGAGAGGAAGAGAAAAAGAAAGACAGGGAAAGACCCAGACATCCCCCACAGGATCATGCTGTGCATGCATGCTGCAGTGCATTTGTGACTAGTGTGTCCAAGAAGACACCTTGGACAAGGATCCTAGACCTTCCGTGTGGCCTCAGCATGGAGCATGGTGTTTGTGCTGTAGCATCACAGCTGGCCTGGGACCTCCTGGAGAATGAAATTTTACTGTCTCTCATGCTCCATTGACAAGCCTCACTTGGCTGATCTGAAATTCTTGTTCTCAGAAAACTTTACTGGGGCCAGCAGGTGGACCGATGATTAAGGTGCTGGACTCCCATGTGGCTGATCACAGTTCGAGTCCCAGACCTGATGACTCGCTTTCTCACTTTCCCTTTCTCTGTGTGTGTGTGTCTCTCTATGATAAAATTAAAAAATAATAATAATGATAAATGGAATTAAATAAATAATTATTTGAAAACAAACAGAGAGCTTCTCTAAACTCGAATTTATTATATAGCTTCTATAATTCAGCTAAATTATCTGGTGTCTTTATCACAAAATTAATATGGTATGATGATCTAATTTGTCAGATACAAATCAAGACTTTAAAATGTAAATAGAGATATGAGACCAGAAGCAGAAATTTAAGACCTCATATGAGGCCAGCTTCATGTGTGTATATACTATATATAATATATATAAATATAGTATATATGTACATATGTGTGTGTATATATGTGTGTGTATACTATATATATAAATATGTATATATATGCACATATATATGTGTATATATATATAGTTTAATTTGATTTATTAATATTTTTAAAATTTGCTATAGGGCACATGCACTCACCAGACAGAGAGACATAGAGAGAGAGAGAGAGCAAGAAAGGGAGACAGCAAAGTCAACAGGTCTGGGACTCAAACCATGGTTAGCCATGTGGGAATCCAGCATCTTAACCACCATGCCACTTACTGGCTCCTACCACAGCATATTTTGAGAGAAGTCATCAGAATATGAAAGTTAATATCAATATACCAAAAAAAGCCAACACTTTATTAACTCAAATTGTGCCAAAAATCTTTTCTTTACAAAGTATTTTTTCTTTCTCATTCAAAAATAGATGGTTTTGTCTGATAAAAATTCTTAATATATCATGAAAGGAAAACATCTTGTTTTGGATCCTATTCAATTAGTCTATCTTGTATTTTTGTTTTAGCTCAGTATGTCAGTATTTCTGCTGGGAAAATTAAAGGCTATTTTAATGAATTATTTAATTTTTAGTTTATTGTTTTCATTATTTTTTAATTTGCAATAAGTTATGTATGCTCAACAAAGAGAGGGAGAGAGAGAGAGAGAGAAAGTGAAAAAGCAAGCCACCAGGTCCGGGACTCAAAATGCAGTCAGCCACGTGAGAGTCCAGTTCCTCAACCACTATGCCACCTGTGTGCCCCTGAAGGGCTATTTTAAATATAAATATATTTTTTAGGTTTTTGTCATAGGGTGAGTGCACTCCCCAGAGAAACAGTGAGAGGGAAAGTGAGAAATCATCTCCTAAGGGAGATGGCCATGCCACAATCCCTTCTTTTCCACTCTCTTTTTGGGATTTTGGGCACACACACACACACACACACACACACACACACACGGCATGATTTTTAAGCCACCAGGTCCAGGATTCGAACCACATTAGGCCATGTGGGAGTCCAGTGACTTAACCACCATGCCTGCGGCTGGCCCCTAAATATAACTTTTGTCCTACAAAATAATCCATATCTGCTGTATATGAGATGCAGGGCTTATGAAGCATGTACGGGCTTCATAATGGGGGCTCCTATTATTATCTTGAGTTTATTGCCCCATTATTGCATAGTGAGTAGGCAGTTTATGATAATGACCTTGTGATAGTTGTTAGATTTATTATTTAATCACAGGTAAGTTGGCAATACCAAAAGATCTGCAAAATGACCCAAACTGGCACTGATGGCTTATCTCCAAATCCAATTTGTTCTTTTGGGGGAATTATTTAGTCTAGTGGGAAAAAAGTGAGAAGACAAGCTCACAGGTATGTGTGATACCTAGAAAAGCTTACAGAGTTACAATGCTGATGTATCCTACATGTATTTCATACAAGTCTTTTTTTTTTTTTTTTTTTTTGAGAGAGAGAGAGATTTTTGCTATAGGTTGCATACACTCTCCAGAGAGAGGGAAAGTGAGAAATCGCCCCCCGACCCTGGAGATGGCCACACCACAATTCCTTCTCCTTCATTATCCTCTTGGGATTTTGGGCACACACACACATGCACCCAGCATGCATTTCAGGTCATGGGGTCCGGGACTCAAACCACTGTCAGTAAATGTGGGAGTCTAGTGATGGAACCACTACGCCACCAGCTGGCCCCATACAAGCTTTTTTAAGTAGCACCGTATTTCACTTTTACTGCAAATTCCTGGAGTTTGGTTTAAAAAGAAATGAGAATCCTGCCAATCTTTTTTCCTTTTGATTTTAGGGTCATTTTTTTTTTCCCAGAATAATCATAGAGTTTCTAGAAATGTTCTTTTCCCATAGTTTACCTTTCAGATGGGGCAGTTTTCCGATGACATTAAATGTTTCTAATGAGTCTTTTTTACCTTTGGTTGAAGGTTTCCTTCAAACAACTGCGGATGAGTTTTGCTTTTACTATGCCAAAAAAGATGGTGGGTCGTGCTTTCCAGATTTTCCAAGAAAACAAGTCCGAGGGCCGGCATCCAACTACTTGAATCAGATGGAAGAATATGACAAAGTGGACGAGATCAACAGGTTCATAATAATAAATGCTCTTGAATCTTAATCTTGACAGATAATCTTTACCACTGACCAGTTTTGTGGTTTTGACAGTGAGTCAATTATCTGAGTTGCTGTTCAATAGCTCTACCCTCCAGATGCTTTATTTTTTCCCCATTGGTTAGTTTCCTTCCCTAAAATTGTAACTCAAATGCTTGGACTACTTAGACTACTAATCTTATTATGAGCTTGTCTTCTCCATGACTCATGAATTCTATGAGTATAGCTTTAAGCATGACTTTTATGACTGTTGTTAGCTTATACTGCTTCAAAAATACTCAACAAAATTAGTATTAGCAAATCACATATGTGTACCTAGATCTTACAACTTTCTGAGTACCTTTTTGTAAGATTTCATTATTGTGGAGACCAGCAGATGTCATAATGGTTACATTGCTGGACTTCCATGTAGTCGACCACGGTTTGAGTCCTCGACCCTGGGGCTTAAACTCATGCTGGGCACATGTGTGTGCATATCCAAAACCCCAAGAGGAGAAAGGAGGAGAAGGGATTGAGGTGTGGTCATCTCCCTGGGGGGTGATTTCTCACTTTCTGTCTCTCTGGTGAGTGCACATGCCCTATAGCAAAAACCTCTCTTAAAAAAAGAAAAAAAAATTAATTACTGTGAGTAAAATCTAATTTTAACTACAGTCTCTGGTAGATGAGATAATGAATGTATGAAATTTAAAAATACATACACGTTTCAATTCTTTATTTTACTCTCTGATAAAAGGGTGTTTTGTTGTTTTCCAGTGAAAAAAAATCTAAAAGCATCTTCTTGTGACCCTCAGGTTAGCAGCACTTCAGGATTCTCAGAACCATTGATTCTTAGAAGAAACTTTTTTTTTTTAGAGGTTTTTGCTATAGCATACGTGCACTCACCAGAAATACAGAGAGAGACATAGAGACAGAAAGCGAGAAATCACCCCCAGGGGGGATGGCCACGCCACAATTCCTTCTCCTCCATTCTCCTCTTGGAATCTTGGGCAAGCACACACATGCACTCAGCGTGAGTTTAAGCCACTGGGTCTGGGACTTGAACCGCGGTCGACTACACGGGAGTCCAGCGACATAGCCATTATGCCAACTGCTGGTCCCAGAAGAAACATATTTTGAAAATGATGCTTAGGGCATCCTTTACCTCCTTCATCTCTAGCAAAGCTTACTGGTTTTCTTTCCTTTCTTTAGAAAGCACAAACACAACTGCTTCTGTATTCAGGAGGTTGTGAGTGGGCTACGGCAGCCTGTTGGTGCCCTGCACAGTGGGGACGGCTCGCACCGTCTCTTCATTCTGGAAAAAGAAGGCTATGTGAAGATATTTACACCTGAAGGAGAAATTTTCAAGGAGCCTTACTTGGACATTCACAAACTTGTTCAAAGTGGAATAAAGGTTGGCTTTTTACCTTTTCTTTATCTTTGTTCCAGCTATGTAAATTTTATTCTAGTGTCCTCTGCCTCACAGAAGGCATTTCTTTGCAATAAAAGAAAGACTATTGAAAGAGAAAATAAGATAAATATAGCAAGTGATTCAAAACAATGACATTACGTTTTTATGTTATTTGCTGGCTGTTAAGCAATGCAACTGGAATGATATTGCAGCTTCCTTGCTCCAAGTAATTTACACACTTAAAATAATTTGGGCTTGGGACTAGCCCGTGACCTGGTGAGTAAGGTCGCTGGATCCCTCATGGCTGACTGGGTGGTCTGAGTTCTGGATAAGCAGCTTGAGAAACATGCCAGGTGTGTGTGTGTGTGTGTGTGTGTGTGTGTGTGTGTGTGTGTGTGCCCCAAATCCTGAAGCGAGGGAGAGGTGGAAGAGAAGGGACTGTAGAGTGACAATGCCTTCTAGAGGGTGCTTTGTCACTTTCCCTCTCTCTGTTTCTCTCAAGCAGGTGCATGTGCCATCTGGCAAATTAAAAATGTTACTAATAATTTTGGCTTCATAAAGTATTGGTTTAAATATTGTTTAATGGACATAACACTTAGGATTGCCTATCAGCATTTTCTAGTGGAAATGAAAAGGACTTTCGGTTATTTTGACCATTGCAAATCTTTCTTTTACTGAATCTGTTTTTGAGTCTATGTCATAAAAAAAAGCTCATTATATGCTCATTATATTGTGACTTCTTTCTACAATGTTTTTCCAGGTAAGTAAAATATTTTTATCTAAAATTAGCCATCTATATAATATATAAGCACATCTGTTGGCCTCTTTGTTGATTTCCTAATGTGAGCCCTCATGTTAAATAACCTGTCTTTTAAAAATTATTGTCATGGGACCAGCAGTCAGCGTAATGGCTAAGTCGCTGGACTCCCATGTAGTCGACCGCAGTTCACATCCCAGACCCGGTGGCTTAAACCTCACGCCGGACACGTGTGAGTGCGTGCCCAAGATCCCGAGAGGAGAATGGAGGAGAAGGGATTGTGGCGTGACCATCCTTCCTGGGGGGTGATTTCTTGCTTTCTGTCTCTCTGTCTCCCTCTGTCTGTCTGGTGAGTGCACGCGCCCTATAGCAAAAAATCTTTTCCAAAAAAAAAAAAATTATTGTCATGTTTGTCTCACAGGAATAACACAGTATGTTATTAGTAGTAATAATCTATAAAGCAAATCGTGGTCTTAGAATTAAAACCATTTAGGGACCAGCACTTGGCATAACGGCTATGTCGCTAGACTCCCATGTAGTTGACCACAGTTTGAGTCCTGGACCCGGTGGCTTAAACTCATGCCAGGTGCGTGTGCTTGCGTGCCCAATCTCCCGATAGGAGACTGGAGGAGAAGGGATTGCAGCGTGGCCATCCCCCCGGGGGGTGATTTCTTGCTTTCTGTCTCTGTGTCTCTCTCTGTCTTTCTGGCAAGCGCACGTGTCCTAGAGCAAAAAAACCTCTCCAACAACAACAACAACAACAAAAAAGAAGAGGCTACTGTTGGGAGGATGGGACAGATACCAACACATTCAGGAGGTGTTCATAGCATTTATTTTGATGGTATATCCCTTGGAGATTTTTCTTTTTAATTTGCTACAGTGCATGTGTGCTCACCAGAGGGAGAAGGAAAGTAAGAAAGCACCCCACAGAAAGGATGGCCATACCACAATCCCTTCTCCATTCTCTCCTCAGGATTTTTGGCGTGCATGCACATGTGCCCAGTGAGTTTTTTTAAGCCACTGGGGCCAGGTCTTGAACCATACAGTTGGCCATGTGGGATCCAGCTGTCTTAACCACCATACCACAGCTTGTCCCCTCAGAGACTCTTGAAGTGAAAACAGCTTCATGGCATTTGACCATGATTTTTTCAGGCTTCTTTGAAATAGGTAGAGTTAATGTGTTCATAGCAATATTTTGTGTTTGTCCACAATTTTTTTGCACAAATAACACAAGGAAGAATTTTCACAGAGTATTACACATACCATCTTTTGTCTATTCTTCGTTTTAAAATCTTAGAGAACATAAACCTATTCGGTAGACTGAAGTACTGAAAGCAACACTCAGATTACAGAATTATGAATCTATACTAAGCCCATCCTTTATATGCTTGAAGTGAAAATGATATGAATCACAGTGGAAATCCCCCCTTCCTTAGTGACATTTATTGATGACTAGAATCAGTAAATTCAATTAGCCATGAAGAGGAATTCCTAGTTATAAGGGTTTCCAAAAGCCAGTGTTGGCTATTAGTGGACCTGGAATTTCTTCTCTGCTAATTGTCACTTAAGAATTGACAAGAATGGGGAACCAGCAGTTAGCATAATGGCTATGTCGCTGGACTCTCACGTAGTCGACCATGGTTCACATCACGGACCCGGAGGCTTAAACTCACGCCGGGCATGTGTGCATGCGTGCCCAAGATCCCGAGAGGAGAATGGAGGAGAAGGGATTGCGGCGTGACCATGCCCCCGGGGGTTGATTTCTCGCTTTCTGTCTCTCTGTCTCTCTTTGTCTGTCTGGCGAGTGCACGTGCCCTATAGTAAAAAACCTCTCCAAAAAAAAAAAGAATTGATAAGAATGATTTGGGGACCAGCAGATGGCATGATGGTTATGTCACTGGACTCCCACGTAGTTGACCATGGTTCAAGTCCCAGGCCCAGTAGCTTAAAGCTCACATAGGACGTGTGTGTGTGTATATGCATACCCCAGATCCTGAGAGGAGAATGGAGGAGAAGGGATTGCAATGGCCATACCCCCAGGAGGTGATTTCTTACTTTATGTCTCTCTGTCTCTCTGTTGAGCACACATACCTTATAGCAAAATTCTCTCTCTCTCTCTCTCTCCTCTCTCTCCCAACCCTGATTTTTATGACTGCTTAGAGGAATGCCATTGGCAAAGAACCAATCATTAGGGACATGTACAATTCTAATTAGGTCTCAAATGATGGGTCATCTTTTTCAACACCAAGACTGGGCTGCCTAATTGTGGGAGATGAGAAGATGGTAGCACCCTGGGGGCCTCTGTGTGTACAGCTCACGGAGCAGGAGTTATCTGCAGAAATGAAAGCACAGGCTAAGAATGGGCTTCTTTTTGCTACAGGAAATAAGTTGTGGAGTTCAGATTAAAGAGTAAGTCAGGGGGGCCAGTGGGCAGTATAGTGGTTAAGGTGTTGAACTTCTACATGGCTGACCGTAGCTCAAGTCCTGGATCCAGTGGCTTGAAACTCATGCCACATGTGTGTGTGCACGCGCGCCCAAAATCCCAAGAGGAGAATGGAGGAAAAGGGATTGAGGTGTGAAAATCTTCCCTGGAGAGTGATTTCTCTCTTTCGGTCTCTCTGGCAAGTGCACGTGCCCTATAGCCAAAATCTCTTCAGGAACAAAAAAGATTAAGTCAGAAATATGTTTTTAAATTATGTCATGATTTGATGACTCTTTGATGATGGTGCAGTGTACAGGCTAATCACAAATACTGACACCATGAAGAATGACCACAGTGAGAGTCAATCTTTTCTTGTGTGTGTGTGTGTGTGTTTGTGTGTGTGTATGTGTGCAAAGCGTTGTTAGTTATTGCTGCCATATTGTTGTTTAATTCCAAAAGGGGAAAATCACAAGAGCTGCACTATGGATCTCCAGGTTAAAACACTTCTTCAGGATGCTGAGTGATTGGAAATCTTTAAACTGAGCATGCACCCGAATTCCAAATCAGGGTTCCTGGCAAGTCCTAGAACTAGCATCGTCTGTCTAAAGTTTTGGGGGATGATAGACCACATGGTATAATTAAGCGGCAGCTTTCACAAATGCCCATAGTCAAATCATGATGCCTGGGTTTGCCACTCAGGTATTGATATGTTTCCACACGTAGCCAATTTGCAAACCACTCATCCAGATAGAGCCAGACCTCTGGGTCGATTATGCTTTGAATGAGACACACTTTCACTGCCCAGTCTACACCAAGTCCTATTCCTAATGACCTTGAGAGCTAGTAAGTGGACGCCTGTTGTCATTTGTCCTGTGCCTTTTGTCATTTACTGAGACGCTCTATGGGGGTCTTCAAAAAGTTCGGGGAAAATGTGTCATATGAACAATGTTATCCGTAGATTTCACTTTTTTCCCCACCAAAATAAACTCATACTTTTTTTTTTTCTTTTCAAATTGGCCAGAGTGCACACATGTGCTCACCAAGCTGGGGTAGGAGTGCCAAAAGCAAGAAAGCAAGCATCTCCCATGGGACATGGTCACACTACAATCCCCTGTGTGCCTCCTTTTAGGATTTGGGGCATGCATGCCCATGTGCCTGGCATGTTTTTCAAGCCCCCAATTCTGGGACTCAGATCACGTGGTGGGCCATGCGGGATCCAGGTGTCTTAATCCCCAGGCCACATGCTAGCACAACTTGTCCTTTAATTCCATTTTTACAGGTACTTTTTTGAGTCCCCTTGTACACATTACTTGTTCAGTTTGAATGAGGAAGTAGCTCATTCTGGCAGCATGTTAGACACTTGATATAAAATTTGGAAACAGCTCAATGGTTCATTCAAATTGGAAGATCTCTCTACTTGCTCATTTTTCTGTGTTTGTTTTCATTTTGGAATCTGGTATTCTGTGAGCTGGCAAAATTGTTATTGTTTCTGTTCCTAAAATATGTCATTGGCCATTATATCTGAAACCCTTGTTAAAAATGATCAGGGGGGCCCAGCAGGTGGCATACTGTTTATGGCACTGGATTCCCACATGACTGACTGTGGTTCAAGTCCTGGACCCACTGGCTTGAAATTCAAGCCGGGCACCTGTGCACCATACCCAAAATCCCAGGAGGAAAATGGAAGAAAGCGGATTTGGGGTCAGCCATCACTCCAGGGTGTGATTTCTCATTTTCCTTCTCACTGTCTCTCTGTTTCTCTCCTCTCTGGGCAGCATGTGCCCTATGTGCCCTATGGCGAAAATCTTTTTTTTTTTTTTTTTT